AGACCTTTCGGCCGGTCTCGCAGGACTTCTGGTGAACCCACATGTACAAGTCGGTCGCCCGAAACGTAAAAACATGCGAAATATGTCAGCGGATTAAACCCGCAGGACACGTTTCGGCTCCGTTACAGAGCCTGCCCGTTCCGGCTGACTGTTGGAAGTCTATGAATCTTGACTTCATCTTTAGGCTTCCCGCCGACGGACACGACGACATCGGGATTTTGGGGTTCGTATGTCGGCTAAGCAAGATGCTGCATCCTGCTCTACTTCCCGTTACCGTTACAGGCAAGCAGACCGCGAGATTGTTCGTCGATGGTGTGTTCCGCTAGCATGGTCTCCCGAAAACGATTGCCTTGGACCGAGACCCGCGGTTTACGGCTGCGCTCTGAAAAACGATGTTCCCCCTGCTCAGAACTCGACTGCAGATGCTCACTGCGGACCATCCGCAGACAGATAACCAGACGGAGCGCGTCAATAGAGTGCTCGAGGACACTTTTAGTAGTGTGTGCGCGGGAGCCCACGTAAGTGGTCGACGCAGTTTCCAGCTGTTGAATTTTCACTCAACAATGCGGTGCACGCGTTCACGTGGCTCACGCCGCTCTACTTGAATGGCTTTCGTCACCCCAGATGATCCTTATTCTTCGCGGAGACGCTGCATCCTCTATTCTAAGTGAAGGAGAGGCTGGGAAAGCTCTTTCCTCCCAGGTTTTCGATGTGAGACCGGTTTCGCTGCGGAAACAAGTGGCTTCCGTTGGGGATACCAAGCTGAGCGTGATCAGCAGGGTCCGCGATGACATGGCAGCGACCCAGGACAGACATAAGGAGTACCCCGACAAATATGGACGAGGAAACTTAACTATGTTTAAGGTGGGAAAATTAGTTCTATTAGAAACGAGAAGCCTACCGCTAGACATTGTCAGCTCTGTCGGCAGCAACAAGCTGAAGCACCGATTCATTGAATCGTTCGTGGCCCGTGTCAGGCATGTGCGTCGTACACCGTCGACCTGTCCAAGTCAATGACGACGCACTCGACGTTCTACGTTGGACGTCTTAAGCGGTATCATGATCAGCAGAAGGTTGCTAATTCGCGGACCCACCTTGGCCCAACCCCGCGAAGCGAGGTCCGGACACAGACGTCGACAAAGGCGCCTGCGGTCGAGATCGTACGCCGGAGGGCCCCCGTAGAAACGGACCCCAGAGCCATACGCCGTGTACGTCGAGTACGTCGGGCACGAACCATACGAGTTCGGCGGGGAGTGCATCGAATGCGGCTTCGAACGTGGAAGCAGAACCGCAACGCGGTGGATCATGTGGAAGGACTCGTTAAGATCGGACGAAGAAGCCCGGTCGTCCTTCCGCAGATACAGGCTCGAGACATCCCGCTTCAACCGGTCCAGGCGGTTCGGAAGACGAGCGAGCACGCCCCGATTTCCGGCCTGAGCGGCAGCATCGCCGCCGGTCCCAAGGCCAAGTGCAATCTCAAGCACGAGGACGCGTTGACGGATGCGGTCAGCCTCAAGGCCCTGCGTCGAACCCGCAGGAGGAACACTCGGACGACAGTAGCGTTTCGGAGGTGCCTGGTACTTGTACTTGTACGAGGTCACCTCCGTCCCTGCTTGGCCGGAACGGACAGGTCCACTACCACGTGGAGCGGATTCCCCAGAAGCGACGTTGTCGCGGTAACCAACAGCTCCTCGTGAAGTGGAGGGGTTATTCCCACTCCGATAACTCGTGGGAGCCGATTGAACGGCTTCTTATAGACTGCCCGAAGGCTGTCCTGATCTGGGAACAGAAGCGGCGGCAGCTTCGTAAGTAGTCCGTGACTTCTTGCTCCAATGAGATGGGGGCGTTGGCGACACTCCGTACTCGCGCTCATCTTGAGAGCTAGAAGCCACGCGCTTCAGAATGTCCCTTGGCAGCATGCGCTTGCTGAGCAAGTGGGCAAACCGAGCACGAAGGTCACGCTGGTCCCGGATGCGGGACAGCAGATGCTCTCATGGAGTTTCCGTAGCTTCGAGGGTGAGTACTTGAGAGACTCAACCCACGCCCAGAACATGTCCTCACACGAATACCATTTGGGACAATTTTTGAAAAAAAAAAAACAGGGGTAGCCCCAGAGAGGATAGAGCCCACCCTGGTTCTCGGGCTTCTTACGACAAGTCGTGAAGTCCTTCAGAGGAATTCGCTGCGGCGCGAGAAGCACGCTCCAGGCGGCCTCCAAGCTGTCAGCGAACAACTCCTCTTTCTGGACCACAGCACGCTCGTAAACGTGCTAGAAGTGTGGCGACCAAAACGTCCACGAGGAGCGACGAGCGTCTCCAGAAAGAGATCAGACCCAGAGCTCTTCTCGGGGGCCAGTAACCTCTTGAGCTGATGGCAGCTCCCTAGCTGACGGCTGTCGCCACCGGACCCCTACCCATGCGCTGGGCAGCTTGGAAGCCCTCCTGCTGCTAGTCAAGGTCGTTGGTGATATCCCGGTGTTCATGGATTGCACCCTCCTCTTCCTCTTCATCCGAGAAACTGAAGAGGTTTCGATAGGAGTAACCAGTCTCCATCTCCTCGCGGAGTTGATACTTCGAAGCCGTGCGTTTCTTAGAGAGCTTGACGTCGTTGGCTGTGGCTTTGGCATGCCTTAGCACGCGCAAGCCCCTTCGCGACAAAAGAGGCGAGCTCAATTGAACAAAGAAACACCGTTATTAATAGGTAAGGGTAAGCTGGTGTGTAGACACATCGCACATGAAGTATTAGAGGTACAACCCAGCCGCCACTGATTTCAGAATCGCCGTGTCGACCCGATAATGCATTCCAAGTGTGACGGGTTCACACAGCATCTTGCACTAGAGGAAGTCGGCTTCCGGGAGTTTACAAACTCTCAGTGAACAGATAGCGGCTGTGCTCAAGATTGGATACACTCCGGGAAAGAAAGTTCTCGTCACCAACCCCTATCTGACTTGGTGTTTGTTTGCCTCCCTACAAACTTTCTGTAAGAAATTCTTAACGTGGACCGTACACGATAAGAAATTGCTGGTAACGAGTACGGTCCACGATCTCGCGTCCAAGGGGTTAATAAGTACTAAACTGTACTTTTGAGGTATTCATTTCAAATACTAAATGTTCTCACTACTTTTTTTTTCTCAACATTAGCGTCCCCCCTCTCCCAACATCAAGATCCTAAATCCCATTTTTTTCTAGCAACTTTGTTTTTCGTGTGTGGCAAGTCTGAATTCCTTGATGAGTCAAACCGCCGACTTCCCGAAGTCTTTGCGCTACAGAACTGAATTTATTGTGCTTTGCATGTGAAATGCCGTCCATTTAAGATTTCTAATCACATAGTTTCCTGGATAGGTAAAACCGACTCAAACAAAACGAACTTGATCTTATTTAGACTTTTATGTCATAATAACGACCCCAGCCACCAATTAAACTGTCATTAAGGTAACGACCAAGCAAAGGGCTTGCGGTGAAGCGTTTGAGCCCCGCCAACTGCGGCCACACTGATCAGCGTGTAAGTAGCAACTAAGAGGAACTGATGATCGTTCTAATGGTATGAATGTGCATGCGCTTTTTTACTTGAGGCACATGTGGACGAGCAGCAGGCAGGGTACGTGATGTCGCTCTCATAAAAGGTTTTCAGTGTGGTCTTTTCGTATAAAGCTTAACATGGTGTATATCTAGGTAAACCCCGGTGGGTTAGCGTGTAAAACAACTACATGAGTGATACCGTCTTGAAGTATTTGGGCATCGCTACTATGAGTTTGTTAACATTTTTGACCCGTTTGACTGTGGTATTTAGCTAGATTTAAGAGAGGAACAACGTTTTTAACAAAAACACGATGAAACGAAGATCTAATAAATGTCCCCGTCGTAGTCTCTTAAGATGCGGATATTTGATGGTCAAGGGCCGCGAAGATTGAATGACGCTATCTACGTGAAAAGAGCAGCTTGACAGCGCACTTAGTGTTTCTCTCCGACCACTCGTACCTCCTGTACGCGTGGTGACCATCTTTGGAGTGTTGGTCAATGTAAATGAGCTGCTCCGGGTGTGCTTGGACTTTAGCTTTGTAGTTAGCCACCTAACGGTAAGATAAAACAAAATACTAATGTCAAAATCAGTATATCTAAAAAAAGCTGAAAAACTCACCTCAAGAGGAACAGGGTCAGGACTTTTCTAGTTAGACCCAAATCAAAAAAAAATGTAGCACCCGGCAGATAGTCGAAAGTGACACATTCGTCACCGTTGGATGTTCGTCTTGTAAATATTACTGTAGGTCGTCCAGATAGAAGGTAGGATGGCCTTTAACGTACTGCCTGACGGTAGCTACGACGTCCTGGGGCCAACGGGAGGTGCGGATAGGCTCTTTTTCTTCGTACACCACGCCTGTCTGCAGGAAAAGACTGTACCAGCGATAATTTGTGCGTGGCTTTGGTCGAAAGGGGTTGCTAATGAACCCTACGTCGATTCCGTAGACGTGTAGAAATGAAACAGCACGCCAACGAAAGTCCGCAAAGTACGTCATGAGAGTTGAAGTTTTGGAAACTCTGTGTTAATTAAGAAAAGTCGGAAATGCAGTTTGATCTGTGCAATTTGAGGTAACCGAAGCAAAATCAACAGCATAGACTAAGTTGGTCAGCTCTAATTTAGAGTTGTATGTGTGGGTAACACGCTATACGAGATTTCCATCCCTAACCGCAATGGTAAACAGACTTTTTGCAATCATTTTTTCCAAAATACATGCAAAGCACAATAACACCAATAAGTTTAACGATTAAACCTTGCGTTTGGTAGCGACTTTACTAGCTTTTTTTTAATGCAAGTTGCTCGTGCTGAACACTAGAATTATCTCGGCTCCTCTAATAATACAGTAAAAGCACGGTAAAAAAAAACATAAGCTATTTTTTTTAATATGGCGGTTCGTTTTACATGCACATCCATGTTTAGTTCAAGTCCATCACAGAAAAATACGTGGTATTTGGCACATTTGAGTAAATTCGATCACGCAAAGAAGAAATCCTTTTCTTATATTAATCGAGCCTTTCCCGTGAGTCCTGCAAAGGTTAAACGTGGCGTTTGATCCACACCTTATGCTTCCGCAAGGCGCAGACGACGCTTGCCCCGTTTAAAGAAGCCCGCAAAGCGTTTAATGCCTTTGAAGAGAGAAGTGATTCCTTTGGGTAGCATGACTGCGGCTCGTTCCTCCTGGTTAAATGCTTCCTTGAACGCCTTGAGGTCAGTCTTCTTGTAGTCTTTGACATCACCAAGTGGAACACGCATCTTGTTCGTGACAACGCCGTCTTCAACATTGTAGAGCTCGGCGTAGAATCCGTTTTGAGTAGTGGCCGCCTTGGAAACAGCAGTGGTCCTGTCGCAGCTGGCGATAAGAGCAATGGCAATGACCAGTAGGGGGTCGGTAATGCGCATTGTGGAAGGCGTTGGGGTTTGGCCGAGTCTTGTCAGTTTGAAAGTGAGGAGAAAAGACCAAAATTTAATACACGTCTGACGGGGCTTAGAGGGGTGATTACGGTTGCTTGTGATGCCAAGCTATCACGGAAGCGTGCACGTCCGAGACCAATATTACAGCCGTTTACTATGCCAAATCATCAACGGCTATCCAGTGTGGTTTTGTGTGTGTGTGGAGGGGGGGGGGTAGTTTCACCGTCGTTGTCTGTACTCATAAGCGCAGCTTGATGCGATTTCAAAGTGAAAATCGTGGGCTAGCATTTGCTGTGAGTTTAGTTTACAGTCCGCAAGATGTTCTCTTCGTCGAACAGGAGATAGCTACTATTGCTTGCGATACATGTATGACTTGATAGCAAATATCGAAGATCCAGATACATGTAATGCCTAAATAGAAAACGCTCCTCACTCTTAATTAACCATACTTAAATACATGTACATGTAAGTAATTCAACTTCAGATTCCACTTCAACTTGTCTTCGTACTTACGTGAGCGTTTCCCATTCAAGTTTTTATCCAATCCACGACTTCTGAGCCTTCGCAATATTTGTCCAATCATACATCTCTGCGTCCTCACTAAGAGATCTGCCGTGTTGGTTTCATAATAAGCGTAAACTTCGCTGTGCCCCGGCGCCCCCATTGTCCCCCTCTCGTCTGTGTGAGTCCGTGCCGTGCATAGCGTCAACGTCCACGTCCACCGCGTCCTCTTCTTCGTCTCCTCTCGCTCCCCTACCAATGGACACCTCCCCGTACGACATGGAGGGCGCGTCCGTCGACCCGTCCGTCAACGTCGACGCCTACGCTGACCCACAGCAGCACAATGGGCCCGTGAAGCTCTTCGTGGGCCAAGTGCCTCGCACTATGGAAGAGGACGATCTACGTCCTGTTCTCGAGGTCTTTGGGCCGCTCGAGGACCTCGTGATCATCCGAGATAAGATCACAGGCGCCCATCGCGGCTGTGCCTTCGCCTCGTACTTTACGCGCGACGCGGCCGAGAAGGCCGTCCAGGAACTACATAACAAAGTCACGCTCCCGCAAAGTATCAACCCGCTACAAGTCCGCCCCGCTGAGGGCCAGGCAGGCGCCTCGCAAGAGCATAAACTCTTCATCGGAATGATCCCAAAGACCGCTGATGAGGCGGCAATTCGCGACGTCTTCGAGCTCTTTGGGTCAATAGAGGAGGTCTACATCCTACGTCACCCCGCTACAGGCCAAAGCAAGGGCTGTGCCTTCCTGAAATTTAAGGAACGCAGCTCTGCCCTCGCTGCGATTGAGGAAGTCAACGGCATCGTCACAATGGACCGCGGCACGTCGCCTCTCGTCGTCAAGTTCGCCGATAGTCGTCGTCAACGTCTCCAACGTGCACGCAACTTGGCAGCGGCAACCAACGCGTACTGGCCGCTGCCTCCTGGAGCGGGATTGGCTTTTCCGCAGCTGCAGCAGCTACAACAGCAATACATGCAGCAGATGCAGGCCTTTGGAGCCCAAGCCGCGGCTGGAATGAGCCCGACAGTCGCCGGTCTGGGCTCTCCAGTCGGAGCGACTGCGAGCGGCCCTGGAAGCCCCACCAACTCGTTCATGTACTACAATCCGTACGGCTTTGCGGCTGGCGCTGCAGCTCCGTACGGATTCGGTGGCATGCCCAACGTGGCCGCTGCTGGCTTCGACATGCAGACAGGTCTGGGCGCTAGCTTGGACCTCCAAGGACAGGGCGCGGAAGCTGCCAAAGCCTCACGTACCACCAGCCAACTGGAAGGCCCCACAGGCGCCAATTTGTTCATCTACCACTTGCCGCACGACCTCACAGACGCCGATCTGGCCACTGCCTTCGCTCCCTTCGGCACAGTTATCAGTGCTAAGGTGTACATGGACAAGATCACGGGGGAAAGCAAGGGCTTTGGCTTCGTGAGTTACGACAGCGCAGACGCTGCAGACGCCGCTATCGCCAGCATGAATGGCTTCCAGATCGGCACCAAGAGACTGAAGGTGCAACACAAGCGTATCCATCAGAGAAGCGACTATCTGGGCGGCTCTGGCAGCGGTCTCGGCCATGACGACGAGCTGGCTGGGATGGAGTATCACCAGGGCCCTGGCATCCACGGATTGGACGAAAATCTGCACAGTGAGGACAGCGGCGCCCTGTCGCCTAGCAGCGCCGCAGAAGGCAACAACGGCGTCGACACGTCACTAGACGAGGCCGTGCAGAACCTGCGCATCGACGCGTAAGAAATGTGTTTTTGTCACTCGTGGAGGATCATGTCAGTCAGTCGGTCATTGGTTGGTGGTGAGTTTTGAGGCGTGGAAGGTGTACAGAATGCCGTGTACAGACAGCGATGCGATACTGGAGATCAGAGAGAGACGCGCACAAGGCACGAGAAACGAGAGCTGTTGCGAGCAAACAAGCATCTAAAGAAACAAGGAGAAAGAAAGATACATACTAGTATGTTTATAACAAAAGTACACTGGATTCACTTTGGTCTTTTCAGTGTACTACACATACCGGTATGTGGTTACTTTTACTTGTAACTTTTGAAGTTACGACCACTTAGCGAGCAAACCGAAGATTGCGTAACCAGCCACCAGTGCAATCGACTTCTTCAACGTCATCGTATTCTTGTGATGGCCGTGGTCTTCACCCCCTCCATGACTGTGTCGAGGGAACTCCTGTGGGATGACCTCCATGACGGCCACGTAGATGAATGTCCCAGACGCCAGAGCCACGCAGATGCCAGCTGCTGCCGAGTCCTCGGACGAGTCGGCGGCAATGATCCAGCCAACAATAATGCCAATGATACTCATGAACGAGAACACGACCATGTACAGCATCACGTGCGTCGCTGGCATGGCGCTCTGTACGAGTCCGGAGCCCAGAGCGAAGGCAGCTAGTCCCTTGTGCATGATAATCGCCATAAAGACGCCCCACGCCGTCTCCGTCTGGGCGCCAATGCCCAGTCCTTCGAGTACTGAGTGGAACGACAGAGCAATGAACAGTACCATAGCTACAGCCATCGAGCCCGCCTCTGGCTCCTTGTGGGCTCCTCCAAAGTGCGAGTGACCCGAGCTGCGTCGCACATTGCTAGCCAATCCCTGCTCTTCTTCGTCTAGATCTTCGAGGTACGTATCGTCGCTCTCTGTGGCCCCGTGTAGCTCCTCTTCGTCTTCACTCTTGGCAGGCATGTAACTCTGAGCTGCAGCTTCGTTGTTGGCGTCCATTTTGGCCTGTGCCGCTTGTTCTAGTAGCAAGAGAGCGAGGAAGCCCAGCGTGCAGAACATTTCGGCGTATGGGAAATCGTAGCGACCCTCGTCCTCTGTGGACCATTTGCGCAGCGCCGGGTTCTCGATAGCAGAATGCAACAAGTGGAAGAAACCGCCAGCCAAAAAAACGCCGCCAGAGAAGGCGCTGAGGATACTTAGCGTGGATGACTTGTCATGCCTTGAGGCCAGACATGCAGGAGTCAGGCCACCCACGAGTCCTACGACCCAGATGCACACAATGGATACGAGCTTGAACACAGTCACGGCGTCCATATTCGATGGAGAACGGCACCTACTCAGATTTTATTGTTACACGGATTTTGTGATATCTGATGTTTTAACACCAATTCCGTCCCTCCTTTAGTACCGGTACATCGTTTGGGTCCCAATGAAATTTTTTTTTTATAAAATCCGGAGCAAATCCGAAGGGCTAATAGAATGTTGTGGGGGATCAAAAACCGCTCAATATATTTAATTAGAGTATTAATAGATGGGACAGCATCCCTATCAAAGAGTCCCTTACCCCCCTCCTTGTTTTGACATCCCTCCTATTAATAGCAAATATTAGAGAGGTTGTGCAAAATAGTGAAATATAACAATATACAAAATCAGATTATACAGGTGAATTTGAAACTGTAGAGGTGTGCAGCTGTCATTTTTCAGTTTTGAACCGTGGCTTATTTGATGGACAGCAGCGACAGTGACAGCAGTGACTAGGAGGACCTTGCGTTCCTCACCCTTCTTATTCGCAGCGGCAGTAAATTCCGAACCGACAGGCTTAATTTCGAACAGCCCGCGTTCGCTTCCGTTTGGAAGACGATGTTTCGTTTCAAGAAGTACGACATAATAGCTCTAGACAAGACATTTCAAGCTACTAGACCAGTAGCTCCTGATTGCATTATCATCCATCTCAGCAAGCCCTTTCCCGGCACTCGACACGACTCATTTATACAGCAGCAAAGCCAGCTACTAGAGGCTGCATCTCCGTATCTTACTATTGGCAGCAAGTACTACGTCCTCTACGGTGACTCAGCATACGGGCAACCAGACCATGTTGTTGCACCCTTTAAAGGTGCATCGCTGAGCAACGACCAGCAAGAGCTCAACAGGAGAATGAGCAAGGTTCGTGTATGTGTGGAGTGGGGCTTCGGCCAAGTGGAACGCTACTGGGCGTTCTTGGACTATGCCAAAAACCAGAATCTTCGTTTGCAGAGGCTCGGTAAAATGTATGTTATGGGGGCACTGTTAGCGAACGTACATACTTGCTTATATGGGTGTCAAACCTCAACGTTTTTTCGTCTTCCACCTCCTAGCGTACGTGAGTACTTATACAGCTAACAAAAATTATTTTTGCTCTTACTTCTTTGCGTTAGTGATTGTCTCCATGCGTCTTGCCATCATACGCATCTGCGCTGTCATCACTCCCATCAGCTTATCATACGCTCGCGATCAAACTCCAGTCGATGCTCTTCATGTGCAAGACGGCGTGCTTTCAACTCTAGCTGCTGTTTCTTTTGATCAGATCGACTATTCTGCATGGCTGTCTTCGTATCTAGATAGTTCGCTATTAGCTCAGCGTTGGTTCGTTTTGCACGCTTGGACACTGGGGTTGAAAATGTCTCGCTCTCCGAGTCGCTCAAACGGGATCGATGCAACCCTGACATGGCGTCTCGAACTACTTCTGCAGCATCGGCTTCGCGCCGCTCTGCTTCCGGCTTTTCTTTATCCGTTTTGTCCGCCTTGACTTGTATAATACATTAGGCTTGGGAAATGGATTGAATCGGATCAATCGATATGTCTCGTCTGACTAATCCGATCGAGGTTGAATTGAATCCGATTGATCGATCGATCGGATCCAATCAAAAATGTATAAGATTCTAGGAGAAACACAAAAAATGATATAGTCCCTTGTGCTGGGATTCACAAGAAATACGTTCTTGTAGGTATAGAGTCTACCCAATGACATTTAAAACATTTACGATTCTATGAAACGATTTAAGACGTTCTGCATTAAATATTTGAGGTCATATTGTCGTACCGTACGTGTTGTTCGTCTCCAGGATGAGTTTTCCTGCAGCAGGAGTCCTAGCAAGAAGTTTTCTGCTAGGAAGTGTTTTTCGTAGGAGCCTAAGGCAGAGGAAAGTGACGAATTTTATTGTGTGTGGCTCTACGCTACCCGTCGGGACGCCGTCATGAAATCGTCAGCAGACGCACCTTCCGTATATTCAGTGCAGCATCTCGTTTATCGCGGAATACCAGCAATAGAGACTCCCGGAACACATCCGAAAACTACGCCACCGATTACGTCTGCGGCTAGCCCACTGCAGACTCCGGCGGAAAATTAATGAGCATATATCCAACAGCGTCGGCGACACGCCTGCAACGCTGTAGCCACGTCGTACCAGCACTTCTGCCTGCTTGTTGTTGAGCACCACCCAGCTCATCGAAGTGCCCGGGAACTTCCACGTCCCGCTGTGAAGCTGTCCATGGCGAGCCGAACATGTACAAGTCGCTCATCAAGAGTCTTGATTGGCGACTTGTACATGTACTTGAATCAAGATCATTGCCGCGCTGTCCGTCGTGGTACGCCCCACCGCTTACCACTTCACCGCCCGAACTATCCGCTCCTCGAAGCTCAAGTCCAAGTGTGATACCTCTCCCTGGGGAAAAACTAACGAGGGCCCTCCTAGAGAGGGCCCTCACACAAAACGGGCAGAGGTATTACCGTTAGTGCTGCAAATAGACCGTTAGTGACGCAGCCGTTAGTGATGCAAAAAGACCGTTAGTGATGCAAAAAAATCGTTAGTGATGCAATTCACAGCTTGTGACGTAAATAGATCTTCCAAAGTGCTATCTGAACGAAAACAGCTTCAGTCTTCAAATGGCTTCCAACCCAAGACTTGAGTTTCCGCCCGACGGCTATCTAGTGCTGCCCCTCAATCTCACGCAAGCAACTATTTCATGTGTGCTTCGACAAGCAAGACGATCTGATTATATTAGTGTTTTCCGTGAGGTGGGTGGCGAAGAAGACGACACATTCCGAAGCCAATCACGTCAAAATTGTCTTTCGCCACAGATGAAAAAGCTCCACAGGAAAATTGAGGAGGTGGTTACACTAGTTGATGCAAACTTTCGAGCACAAGTTTATTCATTTTTGTACTGGGCCTGAGCAAAGACCGCATGCAGACTTCACAAGTAGCGACGTGGAAGCTGTCAAGATGCGTTTTCCCCGCAGCATTCCAGCTAGTGTCGTCGTCGCGCTCGAAAGTGGTACACAATTAAGAGTTTACGCCGGATGTTACACTGTGGCACGCGAGGAGCGATCCCGGTTGGTGGATATCCCTATTGGTTACTGCATTGTTTTTCGGGGCGATCTTCTTCACGCTGGAGTAAGCTATTCACAGCACAACTACAGAGTCCACTGCTACTTGCAATTTGAAGGTGTTTCGTGGGTACCTGATATTGTCATGTCTGCTTTAACCTCAAGTTTTACCTGTCAATACTGCGGTTACGCTGATGCATCTTCCAATCGAATGCGTAACCATCGCTACTTTTGCTTATCTAACCCAGTCGGACAACAACACCGGGTGATTCGGCAGCAACTACAGAACGCAAAGGGAACCTACTCGTGTGATCTGTGCCAAAAATCGTTTGCAGTGAAAAGTAGTTTGAGGAGTCACATTAGCCGCAAACACTCTTAACCCAATAGCTCAATTCAATTTATATTGTTATTTTTATAATATTTTTTATTCAATTTTCTATAGACTTTGTTGAAGTGTTTTGAACACTTCAACTTGTTTGATATCATTGCAAAAATTGCACCGCATTTCAGTATCTCGATGTGTATTTTAATAAAGAAAAAAACAGATATACAAATTTAGCGAAGGTGACAGCCTTCTTAACAACTGAAGCCTTGCGCATCCATCAAACAGTGGTAGGTATTGACAGCTCTGTTTTCAACTGTGGCTGCGTATGGAGTGCGCCCTGCATACCCCCATGATCGTGCCGGGAGATACGGCTCTAAGAACGCAGAGGTCTGGTGAGTGCCAACAATTTCAAGTCTTGAAGGGGTCGAAGCGTGTTGTGGCGGGGATGCTGAATGATTTTGGTCTACCCTCTCGCTGTAAGTCGGTTCCCGCGCTGTACCGAAAGTGCCATGGTTGGCCTTGTGTGATCGCTGTGTAGATGATGCGCGTCGGTTTTGCCGGATCGGTGCAGGTTCTTGAATCCGCGATTCCGATACCTCGATGCTGTCGTGTCGGACCCACCAGTGTTTGTCGAAGTCCTCCGGAACAAGACATCGTTCACCGTTCGACTCAATGACTGCAATTAATTGGTGGAGACATGGTCGTCCATGTACACCACGAAAAACACCAGAGCAAACAGACTGCTTCGTCCGAGAATTGACAATCTTCTGAGCGTCGCGCCACAGCTCATGTGTAGCCGTGAGAGCCCACACCGTAATTACGCGAACAACACGAGCGTATCGGTTTTTCTGCAAAAGATATGGCGCACTAGTGGCGTTGTACTCATACAACCAACTTGTTCGTGATGCCGCAGCAACCCACCAGCTAAGTAGAGACTTGAAAACCGTGTACAGATCTCCTTGGCTTGACTTTAATCTCGCCTTCACTGTCGCGTGTGTGCCTTCCACAGTGGATGTATCTCGGATACCGTAGTGTCGGTAGCTGTTGGTGCAGTATTTTACGATTCGTGTCTTATACTTCCACCAGTGTAGGTCGAGGTAGTCCGAAACTACCTTCGACTTCAACTGTAACTCTCTGCATTTGGCTTCAAAGGCTTCTGCAGTCTCTGCATCAATCGCTTCGAAGAATGTCGACATAAATGAATCGGTTTCCCAGGAGTTTTCTTTCCTCGGTTGCCCAGGAGCGGGGTTGACGACATCAACCTGCCCGAGATGCAATCTTGTTTTAGCTTCCACGCTCTTCACCATATGCCACCTACACACCATTGAAGGTACGTCAGGGAACACCCTATCGAGGGCGTTCATACAAGCTAAATCGCGATCTGTTAATATCACGCGGGGCTGGTCAATCTCATTCTCCACCAGCAAAAGTTGTAGCATGTTGAATGCCCAGACGTAATCCTCCTCGGTCTCTCCTGGCAGCCAGCATTGAGCAACAGGCAGTACTGTGTTTGCCCCAGTAATTGTAATCACATTGAGCAATGGCAACTTGTACTGGTTTGTGTTGTAGGTACAATCGGTAATCAATACTCCACAATGCTGCCGGTACAATGCGGTCGTTGCAGGATGAGCCCAAAAGAGGTGTCTGAGCTGGTGAGTCTCTGGGTTTGTTGTCCATCGATGAAAGAACTTGTGTTTATTGAGCAGCTCAAACAAAGCCTCGATCGAGGTGTGGCTAGCCAGTTCATGGCGGCGCGTCGCATTCTTGGCGTTTGCAATATCCTTTGCGATCACTAGAGAGTTGGGGTCGACAGCAAGAAGCGTGGCTTGAATGTCTGATACAGAGATACCAGCAGCAGTTTGTAGACTAACTAGGTCACTAGCAGTGTCAGCGACAACAACAGTTGTGGAAGCTGCAGCCCGGCGACGAGGCTCTGCATGAACCCGGGCGTCACGAGAGGGCACGTGGTTGTGGTGTGAGCTTCGTGCCGTGTGAACGATTTTCCAGGGCCCAGTCGGGTGCTGTTTGCTCGCTGCACGGATACCAATTCTCATAGGGCACTCTGAGCGCTTCGATCCCCGCAAAGGGCGCTGACGGTCGGATTCAGTTAGATTCTGTGTGTTCTTGGGCACACCGGCTCGGTCACACTCATAATTTCGCACCCAAACGTCTCCATCATCGTTGTAGCGTACACGGCGTCGAGATACATTAAAGCCGTGGCTTAAGGTCCATGCATGTACTGCGGCTTCTGCTTCGTCATGAGACGAGTAGTTGGCTTCAGGTGGAGGTGGAATTAAAAAGAGCGGGGGTTTCTCCTTCTCCATTGTACGGTAACTTGGTTTGTGGTACTCGCTACTGAGCTCCTGTACACGCCAGCCATTCGCGTACGGCAACCCCATCCACAGTAATGGTACTCTTACAGCCTTTCAATATGTTAACAACCTTTCGTCTGGTTGGCAACAATGTACCGGTTACAGTACGGTAACGCTGTACCGGTAACAGTACCGGTAATACCTCTGTCCGTTTTGTGTGAGGGCCCTCTCTAGGAGGGCCCTCGTTTGGCAGTGTCTACCAGCACATCACGGCATTGGCTCGCCACTTCTTCCCTTCGTTGAGGTTGGAATTTTGCGCCATGATCTGTGTGTGATTGAAGTTTTTATACTTGGAATTTGTATGGCTTGATTCAATCCGATCGGATCCGATCGGATCGGATCGGTAGTTGCACCTGCACCAAATTCCTGTCGAGAAGCTACCTCCGTGGGACAGACTAAGGCTGCACGCCGAACGGTAATGAGCTGATTTCACTTCTCTACTTTGGCTTCACTACGTAGGCAAGATACCACATAAGTAGAATCAATGGACGCTCATGACGAGTCGAGCACAAACATTTCGTCGAACGCAAACACTTCATCGAGTGGATATCGGCGATCTCACAGTCACAAGCGTTCCGACATTTGGTCTTTCATTCGTGAGAACGATGAATTTTCCTATACCTGCTTGCTGTGCCCTACAGACTCAGCTTGTCGATGGTCATCAATTGCACACACCACTTTTCGCCGCCATCTTAAACGGTACCATCGTGACCAAAGTCTCCTTCATCGTCAAACACACATGTGTCACCACGGTGTACGCATTGTAGACATTATCGATTGCATCGAAGCTCCCCCCATGCGAGCTTCCACCTCGTACATTTGGGAGTAATCTCCACACACCATGTTACCACACAAATGCCAGAAGAAGTCGCAACGGAATAAGCGGTAGCGGTTGGAACAGATCGAGCACAATGACGCATTGTGATACAACGATGACAAGTTCCACGTGGATGTGGATGGAGATACAGCTTTAATGACTTCTGACTCGAGCTGGGTGGAGGAGCTCACGGACCAATTGTACTTAGATGACCCGAGTAAGCATTCACAAGCTCCGGAATCCCTTTGTCAGTTGGTGAGCCCAGTACCTTTGTACAAGTACGAGTTCGTGGATCCTGCAGCAAGTGACTATAGCGCTGTCCGGCGCTCGGATCGGGAAACCAGCGTAGAACCGGGTATCTGTTTGATTGACGACGCCCAGGTGGCTGAAGCGGGTGTCGTTCAAGGCGTTCTTGACGACCAGAGGCCGTTCGTGGTAGATAGTGTGTGAACACATAGATTGCTCTCGAGAAATTGACATCCCGATGGCTCCACGAAAGTGGACGTACTGAGTCCATTGATCGATCACCGTGTCGTATCCAATGGGGCAATCCAAATGGGGCGTAGCGATTTGAGGCAGCATATTGAGCGCACTTCGACCGTACGTAGGACTCAAGGCACCAAAACTAATAACGTACTACAGTCGTATCATCGACCTCGAGTTGGTAATCTCGTTCCAACAGAGTGATGGAGAATTCAGGCTCGTCAGTACTGTAAACCCCCCTTCTTGTCTCTCGTAGTGTTGCTTTTAATGTCCGCTTTAAATGGTATTCCACATCGGCTCGCAGTTGAGTAACGAGGGATTCGTCGAATTGAGCTTGTTTGAATCGCGTTGCTTGAATTGATTCTGCGATTGACTGAGTTGACTCTGAGTGAGCTGCGATTCCTGGAAGTGATCAATTGGCTTTGAGTCAGTTGAGTATCCTTAAATTGAGTTGAACTCTGCGATTCAGTGAGTTAACTGTGAGACAGCACGTTTTCCCTTGAGGTTCCAGGCTGGGAGCAACTGAGTCGACGCTGCGTTAGCTGACAGTTTCTAGTGTTCTTGGATTGAGTCTTCGAGATGACGTGTCGGAGCTGTATCCAGAGAATGTACTGAACCATCCGAGAGCACTGCAAACGCTTGATAAACCTGTGAACGCACAGGTTAATGGACGGAAGAAGTCTATTCTATTCGAGCGTCCTCGACTCACTCAGTCGCAGCTCAGCCAGTCGCAATCACAGGCGAATTGCAAGCATCCGTTGATTCAAAGTCAGCTCAGTATGTCTTAATTTCATCAGTACCAGTCTCAATCCAAGAACACTCGAGACACCCAATTGACTCAGAGCCATTCACATTCACACTCGTAGTCCTCGACGAAATCTTCACCGTAGTCGTCGTCGATCACTGCTGGACCTAATGCAGCCATGAAGTCTTCGTCCTCGAAGATGCACGAGTCGACGTTAATGACGTACACAGAGTCTCTTCTTGGATACTTTGTTTTCCTCCACTTCATACAGGTCCGAGCAGTCACTACAGACCTCATAAATGACAGTAGAATTCACGACATAGTATGTTGCTGCAAAATTCGCACTTCTGGTGCAGGTCGAAAGGGATTAAACTGCCACATGTGCATGTCCGCAAGCCGAACCGAGTGCGAACCAATATGCTCAGGACGATGACGCATTCACTCCTAGGATAAGCTGGTGCTCACCGCCTTCCGTCCCATTTGGGTCCCCTCCAGTTTGTACAGCTTTCAGATCGAAGGTACTGGAGATTCTTCAGCTGAAATTGCATCCATCAACGAAAACCGCGTGATTTCCAGCTCTTCATTGACCGTCGTCAGCAACTCCACGAACACCTCGCCTTTTCGATTAACAACGTTGACCTGAACTCCGTGGCGAAGACGAACATTGCCTTCGTGTTGGTTACTGTGATGAACCTGACGCTGCGCGACTGCAATATTTCGACGCTCAGCAGTAGCTTCATGCGCGAATTGGATCCAATACCTGGACTTGTCGTGGAAAGCATCCACACCGAGTATGTGGACGGCACATACTCCGCACTGAAGGAGTGTACTTGTCTCACAACGCTCTCACGGTTTTCCCGGGGTCGTCGCTCAACACGAGCAGATTGGAATCGCTATACATCCAGGGCAACGAGATCAAGGACTTCAACGTAACCAAAGATCAGTTCGCGCATATTCAAGGGTTTACAGCGTTTATCAGTACGAGTGGATCCCCATGGAGCTCTACAGGCAGCAAGTCCATACCTAAGGACATGGTTTCGGCCGACAGCGACAACGTGCTTTTGTGCCAAACACCCGATGACATGGACAGCGCGGTTGCGGCTGTCGATTAAAACCCGCTAGCGTCACCTCGTCTCATAAGCAGTTCATTCCAGTGGTCTTGGCAAATTCCTGCGCTTTAAATCCTCTCACGGTTTCTATGTGCGTCACTGCTGTCGATCTCGCTGCCCTCATAGACAACACGCCGCGGGTTGCTCCTGCGTCCTAAACTAGCGATACTATCGGCGCTGCCGGGGCCGATGCTGATATTCGACGCGGCCTCCAACGCCTCGACGGGATCAGCTGCTTCGTCCTTGCTTAACAGCTGTGGTTTCGGTTATTGATGCAGGACTCCTGTTATTGATACACCTGCTGCAGGAGTATCAAAAACTAGGAGTCTATAGCAAATATGACAGATTTTGTATAATAAAAATATATTGGCCTAAAAACGTTTTTACACAAGGCTGTGAACTTGTCGATCCGATCCGATTGAATCCGATCGGAACGAAAGTGATCGATAGATCAGCCAATCGGATCACAATCGATCATGATCGGATTTGATCGAATCGATCGATCGGATTTTATTTTCGCAACCCATCCCTACTTGTATTTATGCGTCATATTGAACATCGCAAGCTAACAAGTTAAGCATATCTTTACAGCACATTCAACATAAACTTACCAGTGATGGAATGTCCGTCAGTAGCTGCTCTCGCTCGGTGAAGTCTTCAGCTGTACCTGAGGCTCGAAGTGACTCCATCTCATCTCGGCGAAAGGCATCCAGCAAGGCAATGAATGGGCGGCGTCATGCCTTTCCATCAGCTGTGCATGTCGATAAAATTTATTTCACGCCACTAGCTACGTGATCCCACGCAATAAGCGTTTCTCCGTGTCCAGCAGCCCAAGGTGTGTACTTCACAATCACTTTGAGGAGGAGAATGTCACTGGAGGGTAGGAAGCGAAAAGCTCTTTTTCCGCTTCGACTTGCCTTCGCTAGTCTCCGTAAACTCTGCATGATCCGTCGCATGGGCGTCGCTGTCTTGACCTGGCATCGCGTTTTTCGAACTGATTATAGCCAGTTGTTTACTGTCACCCGATGTCACTGAGAGTACGGTTCTATTAACGTGCTTTTGCTTCTAATCAAATCGCAGTGGACACCTACCCACAACCGTGAAAGGTTTCACAGCTCCAAATTACAGTCTCGTTCCAACTGCTATTGCGAACTGTAACTAAATAATTCTCCGCGACTCATTATTGGCGGAAAGCTCCAGCTTCTTAGCTTTTCAACGATACCTCGTGAAAAAAGGGTCTTATTGGTCGATCCAGGAGGAAGTTTCAACAAGATACAAAAATTCCAGCCGAAAAGCACCTTCTTGCACGGAATTAGTGTTAATAACATCCATGACAAAAAACACTCGCCAAAAAGCTGTCTTTTCCAGCCTTTTTTACTCCACAAAAATGCTTTATCTTGTCATGTTAGAGTTATTATTTTCTATTGCCAAAGATCCAGCTGAATCGCATTGATAATTCATAGAAAAATGAAGCTGTATTCACTTGTGGTTAGCTACGTTGTTGATATTGCTATTACTTAGGTATTCTGTCGCCTGCTTAAGTAGCCACGCCGCACTTAGTTGAAGCAGATTCCATACGCTGGATCTCCTTCCTGTTACGTTTCATCAGCACTTGCGTCTTTGCGCGGAGGTTATCAGCTCGTGTGCCTAAGCTGCTCATAACGCAACCTGTTGAGAAAATAGGCTCTTGCAGTGCGTTGGAGGAAGCCCGTCCCAGCCAAACCCGGGCTAATCCTGTGATAGATGAAAAGTAGATACGGCCAACATCTGGAAACTAACGAAGGATATCGACATGCTCACAGACGCCCCCCCCCAGCAGACGCAGCCACTACGTCGAGCAAGTAGCAACGGGGTGAAGAAGCTCTTTGACCTTAACTCGTCCTCCGATTGAAGCACTGCTTCAGAGACCCAGTCCTCTGCTCACTGCCGTCACTCTTCCAAACCGAAAGTGTCAACCTGGATTGGAGCCCCATAAATTTTCTTCTCGTCAGTAGCTGTTGGATCAATTATAAGATGCGTTGGTGAAGCAGTGCCAAATTCTCACTTGCAGTACTTACGCTGGTGTGAAGCGAGCTAAACACATTGCGGTGTGCATTGACCAGCAACGCATTGTCGGCTGCGATGAACTGCGCGAGCTGCGGGGCTTCATCTACTTATTCACTATGTTTACCCGTACAATACATGGAACGGTACATGGATGGAACATGAACTACCGGTAGTCGGTATTTCTCACTATCGAGGCAAAGATATTTGCTTCAGGATCGATCCTAATTACTTGATCTCAATATGAATTTTAAATTACAAGATCGGTAATTTATGGACAATACTTGGTTGAATACACTTGAGGGTATAGTGCCGGCATCTCCAACTTAAAGGGAGCTTATGTAAGCGATTGGGATCTGCTTACTCGCGTATGCTTGACAAAAAACCATAAGCAGTGACCTTTCTATCTATATCATGTTTTTTTGGCATTGCACACGGCCAGCAGCAGTAATTTCATTTATTATGGCCAATAAAAAAATATAAAAATGTGGTATCAATTGATTGCATTGGACATAGCCACCCTCTTGGACACAACCCATTGCTTACACCTCCATGCACCCCTGATCACCTGGACACGCTGCCAGCCTCGATTTCGGCGACGTCGCCTTCACTCACAGCATCACTCTCACCCACTCCGCTGCTGCCGCCCCCCCCCCCCCGCTGCATCCCGCCATCTCCCCCGCTGCCGCCACCATCTCGACCGCTGTCGTCGTCGTCACCACCAGCGTTGGCAGTAGTAGAGCCTTGCGCTCGTCGCCTACGCTTCTTTCCCGGTCGTGTCGCCGGCGGGAGCTCTCGTGTTTTGTGTCCCTCGAGCAGTGTCCCCGGGATGTTGCTCCCATTTTTCCACTCCTAGGTGCCATATACGAAAGCATTTATTTCTGCCCTCGCAGCCCACATTGCACAGATATTTCCTACAGCCACCACAGGTTGCATTAGCCTAGCAATCTATACGACAAGCAACATCACCCACCGTTTGTTCCCGTTTGAACATTTCGGGCAGAAATACTTGGTGAATTTGCGCGGCTTGACCTTGTACACAGCGCACATCTTACAGGAGCGCTGGTGGCGTTTCACCCCCCCCGCCGCTCACACTGGACTGTATCCGGATTCTCTTCCATCTTGTTGCGCGGACGCGAACCATGTTCCCCTCTTGCTAGGGACGCTGCTGTGCGTTCCTGACCGGTTACTGCTCTCTAAAATTGCGGCATCATAAAATAAGTTAGCGTTATGCTGGATAACCAGAACATTTTTCACCCTTGTGTTGGATGTGATTCAACATAAACTTACCTCGGTCGAGTCTATAGCGAGCGGCTGCTCCATCAACGTTTCCAGAAACGCAAAGTGTCATGGACGGCGTTGGTCGTTTATCTTCCGGAAGTATCGATACATGATGAAGTCGTTTACGACCGCCATGTCGAACAGCCCGAGAAAGAGAGTTTTATAGTACTTTCGCGTCTTGTAGGAGAGCTGGACGCTATATCGCTGCATCCTCAGCTGGTCATGGACGTCTACACCGCCCATCCAGCGTGATAGTCCCGCCCCAATTCTGGAGCCGGGGTGGGCTTCATTCCACCGTTGACACGACACACTACAGTACACAAGCATTAGTATGGATGCTAGAGCCTTCAAAATACTTAGAAACATACTCACTACCCCAGGCCGTCGGCTGCAACCAGAGGACAGCATGTGCACTGGGGTTCGATCCATCCACGTGACGGCTGTCAGCTGCGGGAAGCGCTTGTTTTCGGCCAACTTGGTGGTACTCTGTGCTGGGATGGTAACCTTTTTCTTATTGACGGTCTTAGTCTTCATCTTCGTGGCCACGTCTTTCGCAAATTCAGAGCGATCTACAGAGATCGTTCCGGTCAGGTACATTCGCCGGTGTAGGAGCTCCAGTGCCAGCTTTACATAGGTATAGAAGCGGTCTGTAATGACCAGTCTCCACGGCGAAGTAGTGGACGGATGATAGAGGGCAATCATATTTCGGGGCACTGGGGTTTGTAGATGCGCCTTGGCACCGCAATATACTTCAATTCTATTGAAAACCAGAGAAAAACGTTGTGTCAGCTAAATGCTGGATGGTCAGCGAGATTTGATGCCTTATGTTTGACATCAGACAACATAAGGACTTTAAGCAAAAAAAATGATGGCGAGCTTGAACTCGCCATCATTTTTTGACGCACCTCGTGCAGTACGCAGTTTTGGCACAGGCTGCAACGAACACCTTCGTCCCCCATTTGTGGGGCTTATCCTTTTTGAACTGGCGAGTTGGATTGTACCGAGAACGGGACGGCAACGTAGTTCGTCGAAGCTTATAACAGGGGGCGCTTGGTATCCTCGTGCGAAAGTTCTTTGTAGCACGTCAGCAACAGGCCGTATTTTCCACCCTCGGTCGAGCCGTGCCTGGGGTGACTTGTTATTCGAAAAGTGAAGGTAGCCCATTATGTAAAAGAATCGGTTCTTGGTCATGAACTGTCCAAATCGATTCGCTGGCAGTGCACCAATCCTTTTCAGAGACCAATGAGCCACAACGCCCTTCCGGATAGGTGCCAGCATCCGTGCAATCAACAGGGCCATCACTCGTAGCACCTCCCAGGCTTCAATGTCCGCTACGCCAGCTACACGCCGCTTGATATCACCAAACTCTTATTTTTCTCCTCCAGCCCGCCGTTGTTGGGACCGAATCGCCCGTGCACGCTGTGGAATAGATTGGGAATGATATTGATTGCTTTCAATCACAATCTGACACCAAAGCTTTGGCGGCATAAAGTAGAACAGCAAAGCCAACGGGTTGTTTGCAATTGCAAGAACACTCGTTGATGGTCCATACGGTCCATCCTTGTACGTGGGGTCTGCACCAAACTTAGCAGGATCTGACATCAACAGAACCATCATTATGTTAGTCCTTCTCTTGGATGTCCCGGTCCGCACACACAATTGCGTTGGACTTGGCCACCATAGCGTATCGTACTCCCACCCGGTACTTTTCATTGCCTTGGTAGTTTCACTGTCCTTTGCTACTGACGACCACGCAGACGCAGGAAGCTCATCTTGTTATTTATCAGCATCCTCGTCGGTCAGCTCTCCAATTTCCCAGTCCGAAACCCAGGTGCAGTCATCATCTTCCGCATCGTCTTCATCTTCAGCCTCTTCATGCAGATCTTCATCCTCATCTGAGTTGAGGCCAGTGCACGTCTGAGCTCCCGGGTCCATCATGTTGGGGTCACCGTCGACAAAGCACGTCGGTTCTGCCGTTGTCGCCTCTGAGTTATCGTCTTCGGCACCACTGGATTTAGCCTGCATTCAAAACCAGTGACGTCTTATGTTAGTTTTATGTTGAATACCCTTCGTCGGAACAAACTTTATGATGGATACATAAACATAACGTACCGAGTTATCTTCGCCTTCCTCGCTCTCATCGTGAATGATAAGTCGGCGGCGCTTCCTTGATGATCTGGTACCAGCGCGCTTTCCCTTCGCGATGGTGGACGATTGGACTTCTGGGCTTGTTCGGATAGAAGGGGCTGCTTCACTCGTCTCCCCAACCTCGACTTGGAATATAATCCCGGCAACTGCTGCTTCTACGTCCGCAGCTACAGTGTCTTGGGAGTGGGCTGGAAGCCGATGCAGCATGTGTCGGTGTATCTCCTCCGGGTGTCGAAAGGGCACTATTCCACATGGCCGGAACCTGCACCGGGGCTCTCTTCTTACCTGGTGGCGCCTTCTTCTTGCACACTACCTTCTCGTCCGCTCGCGGCGCTGGGTTTGTCAATAATGTCTCCTCTCCGTCCGCAGGCACGGTGTCGGCTTCAACTGGGACTTCGATATCTTCTGCCGATGCTTCGGCTCTTTTGGTCTCATCATCCTTGTCCTCTGCCGCATCATCGCCGCTGCCGTCATCGACGCAGGCTTTCGGTTTCAGGGCGCTTAGTGATTTCGCTGCGGCCTTCTTTTGTGGGGCGTGCTGATTGTCAGCTACTCGTCGAACGCGTCGCTCCCGCCGGAGAGCGTATGCGGATTGCATGCTCCTCGCTTCTATCCGGTTTGCTACGGGGTTTCTTGCCAGTGGAAGCCGCCATTGTTCGCGCCAGCTATTTTTCTCGAATGAGCGAAATCAGTGGCTGTCGGCCAACAATATTTGGTAAGTGCGGACACCCTTTTTCTGGTGCTCTGCAGGAATTTTAAACCCTACACCTGTGCATTCGTTCGTTTTACACACACGAAATAAACTTAATCTTTGTATTCTAGTCAGGCCGATACAAACTATAAGTAAAAAAATCCTTATACAGCATAAAATAGATGCTGCGACAAAATTGAACTGGGGTATACACCCCTTTTGTTGTAGGGTCCAACATAATGGGAACTAAGGGGTTAGGTGCGCGAGCACAAAAACAGCAAAATTCGCGCTCGTAGGCCTTAAGTTCGAAAACCAGGAGCGCACTGACTCGAATGCTCGTTCTTGTACCCATTTGATCGTCGTTCTAATTGGTGAAACAGCTACTCAAAATTTGTACGATTTTCAACGCAGGAGCTAAGCCTGTTTCTCTCGGCGCTCGACCTTCGCGGACGACGGTGATTCTGACAAAAGAGCTGCTGTTGCAGGAGAAACTACTTCTTCCGGCAGTGTTGCTGTTGACGCAAGCAAGTGCATTATGCAGCAACTTTAGTCTGCGTTGAAGCCGCCAGCTGCCGCTAAACAAGCCATCACAAATTTCCAGTCGATAGGTCCGTTCAAGGTGGTCCCCCCATACACAAAACGAGACTTCCTACTTTTTTAAGTGGGGAGTAAGGGTCGAGTACCGCGACGAAAACAACAAGCTCACAGTCCGTTGGGCGTGTTTGGCCGATGAAACGTGCAGAACTTCAGGTGAGAATCTCTACCGGATGTCAACAGGAAAAACATCCCGAGCTGCCCACCATCTCCGACTGGTACATACTCTTGCGTCGCCGAAGCCAGACTTTGAAGTTACTGACAAGAGTAAGCGAGATAGCGAGATCGAAAAACTCCGCGCCTCACCACTGCTCGCTAACAATCCGGCTCGGCTGAATTTACTACTGTAAACACTGGAAATTGTCAACCACAATTTGTTGCTGAAAAGTGGTGAGTATAAAGGGTCGAAGATGCTGAAAGCACTGGTGGTGAGAAGGGACATGCAGACGGACCTTGGCACCAAGCGTTTTAGTACGGCCATCATCGAGCTTATCAGTTCACGAAGACGGAGAGGATGGGGTACCTTGCTGATAACCGAGAGGTTTACCGGAACTTCACACTAGTTGCCGTTTTTTGGACATGCAAAACCACCAACGACAAATATCTGAGGCTGAGGGTGTACCTGGGCGATAAGGACTGGCATATCAACTCTGTTCTTCTCGGGACAAAGCCGTTTCACCCGGCTTACAGTGAGCGGGAAGGTGGAATCCAAAAGCCATTTCGCATGTGGTTGACGAGTTCATTAGCTGACTTTGACTTGAAGCCCCAACGCTTCTTTGGGGCGCCCAGCGACGCGGGTGGCGACGTCAAATTTATGCTGCGCTCAAATTTACAGCTGCGCTGGGAGTGGCGTTTTGCCCACATGGCCCATGCCGCCACCAAAATGTCGTGTGGGTTGGGTGGAAGGAGAAGTAAAGAGGCCAACCCTGAAATGGCGGGTCTAATTACGAAGATGACGACTGTTGTTTCGAATGTAAACCTGGTATCCTCGGATGGAGATTTGTTTGGTGAGCTTTGTAAGGAGAAACCAAAAGGAGCATCAAAGCGTCTTATCGGGCATTCTGCATCACAATTTCTGAGCACGACGAATGCGATGAGGCGGGTACTGGACAAATGGGAGGCTGTTGTCGAGTGGTACAAGATACGAGCAGACCGTGCCATACATGAACGCCGACCACCTCCGGCTTTTCCTTTGGAAAATTGACATTCCGAGCTTGTCCAAGCACTATCACTGCTTGCGCCGGTTGCGGATTTGAAGTTTAAATACGAGGCAGAGCGGCCAGAGCAGGTGGAATACCCATGTCGCTGTACATGATCCGCATTGACAATCTTTGTCCCGGTCAACCAATCTTACACTACCTGTCAGCCGATGAGAAGCCACAGTGGATACCAGCGAGCTCCCTGACATCTCTAGCTGCGAAGACCCGTGATCTCTTACGCGAAGCTTTGGACGAACGGTTTTTCGCTCGCTAGTACAAGGGTTCTATGTTTGATAAGTGTGATTTCGTGCTTTAAATGATGTTAAAACTCCACCTAATCTACAAAAACACCCAAGAATCACTCAATCGCGCTGTGACCCTGTGTTACCGGCAGCACGGATTAAAGGGAAAAGAAGCCGTCAGCAGATTGAGCGCAGTCAATGACAAAGTTCGATCAAACCTACTATATTTGTTGAAGAAGGTCGCTGGACCATTAGATGGTGTAGCAGGCCACGTGGGCGCGTCTTCACCTCAGTTGATCCGTCCAGAGGCACGGCTTGCGCCTCGCACTAGACCTGTTGTGGCGCCTCGCGCTGATAAACGGGCCGAAGATGAATTGGATTGCTGGATGGTGGATGTCGAGCGCAACGCCAATATGGCTGCGAAAGAAACTGTGCTTCATCTCTGGAAGCGGCTTGAGCGTTCCGGACAATACCGAATCATCCCAAAAGCGGTACGTGTGCTCTTCTCGATTCCTGTTTCGTTCTGTCAAATTGAGAGGTACTTCAGCGTCAGTGGCGAAATGGTGTCGGTGCAACGAACTACATGTAGTTTGTCGGGAGACACCATCGTCATGGGCGTATTTATAAACAGGAATCCAGAGCTCGTGAATCTACTACAATGCGAAGGAATTCCTTGGGGCCAGCACCACTTCCACAAGCCTTCGAACCTTCTACTTGACATCGACCCGGACCTCTACATGGACGTCGTTAATCCAGATATTATTGCCGAGTTTGTTTCAAGTACCAGCGTTTCTAGGGAGTTTAACGAAGAAGAAGAGAAGTCAGCTCTGGGAATAACAAATGCATTTACGCGTGGACCGAACCATCCTGGTCCTTGTTGTAGATGGGAGCTTTGAAATTCGAGTGTAGAGCTTCTTAACTAGTCGTCTAGGCGGTGCATGGTCTGCCGAATGTTGGGCACCTCGAGAATACCAGCTACGGCAGCCTCGAGGTCCTTGCAACCGATCTTAACAACCTGCGAAGTCATCTGCCCCTGTCAGCAGTCACGCCACCATACCGATGTCGTTGTGGCCACGAGGGCGCGTGGTCTCCGTGATGTCCTTGCCCGTCGCGTCCAGAATCAGCTCTCGCACCTCCATCATCAGGGTCGGGATGGTGATCTTAGCGCCACCGCCGCGCTTACGCTGCTGCACGTGCTTACACCACTGGCGCAGCAGATTGTGCTCGATGTGCTCCAGGAAGTCGTACACGTACATCGTGCTGAACATCGCCTTAGGCACCTGACGCTTCTTGTCGAAGGGGGAGACGACCGGGTACGGCGTCGTGACAGGCATGCCGTCAATATCGCCGTGGGTCTCGTCACCGGCTCATCGTGACCAACAGCATCAACCCGAGCCTGCACGCGCACCACGTTGCCAGTTGGGTTCTCGACAACGAGACGCACAGAGATTACCGGGGCCTCGCTGTTGAAACGCTCAATGATCTTGAGCTCCACCGTCGACACGCCCAACTTCTCTAGGCGCTCGGCGTAACGGTACGCCAGAATGCGAGCCACCCCCTCCAGGTACTGGGGGTCAACGATTGCCTGAGGCAGGATGTTCAGGAACACGTGGCTGCTCTTGGTCAGCAGAGATGACTGCTTCACGAGCGGTTTGGCCAGGCTAACGTCCAAAGCGATCAGCGCATCCATAGGTGAGCGCTCAGGGCACGGGTACACGTCGTACTGCGAGCGCGAGCCACTGCCATCCTGGTCAAGCTGACGCACCACTGCATGCATGAAAATGCGCTGTAAGCGGGTGGTCACGCTGTGCGAGTCAGCCTCCTCCACCTTGGTCCGATACAACCGCACATTCATGACCTCCGGTGCCAACGGCGTCACACTGTAGTTCTGCATACGACACAGGACCAGCTTGTAGGCGATCGGGGCCTCCATTTGGCGCACGACCTTGTCCTCGTTGTAGTTCAGACGGCCAGGGATCGTGTAGATGTTCGGGTACAACGCCATGTTAGCATTGTGGGACGAGCTGTTCTCAATGTTCTGCGGGCGTACCGAGGTCACGCGGCAGAAGTTGTGCGACAGAGGCTCGGATCCGCTGACTTGAGGTACGCCTCGGTCTATTCCAGCAGGTTCGCCTCCTCCGAGCGACGCACATACACAACAGGATCCTTGCCGACAATGTCTTGTTCGCGAGCGGGAGCAACGTCATCACGTCCGTGAACACGTTCTTGAAAGCTTCCAGGTTAGTAAGGCGGACAATAGCGCCGATACGCTCGAAGTCCGGGGAAAATCTTCTAGTAGCTCTCGACCGGCTTGAGCAACGGCTTGTCCACGGTCGAAGCCGTCAAATTTGACACTTGGTCACACCCATATGTGATGAATAGGTCACACTTGCTAAACGTAGGTCACGTGACCAATTTAACTAGGTCACGCAGTAATAGCAGCAATCGTCATTCATGGCAGTTTTGAAACCATTCCGACTCTCTCGAAGAGGCACACCCGGACTCAAAGGCAGGCCGTCCCCACTCTCGCAAAAGACAGCGACTATAACAACATCTCGATGACTCGCCGCAGACCGCCCAGAGGTGCAAACTCACCTTCACCTCTCAATACGTCACTTGTCGAATCATCGCGTCGTCGTGGGAGGACAAGGTTCTCGCCGACTTCTCGTCCATCACGGCCTTATCGGGGTACCTCCACGTCTGACGTAGCAGTAACAGATACATCCATGCACAGCAGTGACGTAGCCTCTACTCTGCCAGCAACGTCCATAAGAGGAGAAGCACAAGAATCGCCGTCGCCATCGCTTACTATAGAGTCGATGTCGACTCAGCCTCCGACGTCATCCTCAGCAAATCCGACTAGTTCGCCGCATACTCAATCTCCACGTAGCCTCAGCCCCACTACTACTGAGCTCCCACAGTCAACAGCAAGCTCAGTACGCTCGCAGGTAGTATCCAAGCCACGCGACGGACGTACCAAGGTGTATTACCAGGGCTATGCCTTCACGCGCGCAAATGCAACTGTTGTCAAGATAACCTACCGTTGTAGCTCATACCGTAAAAAATTGTCGGGCCCAGTTTGCTTACTATGCAGACTTAGCGTCGTTTGACTTCGGGAATATGGAGCCACATACCTGTCGAGCTATTCTCGGTCTTGTTGGATCCGAGACAGGATCCGGTGATCACTGCATCGACGTTTCAGAGGCTGTAATGGATGAAGTCGACAAACTGGCCGCCAAAACGACTATGACACAAAAGGAAATTTGGACAGGTATTGTACAAAAGTTTTACATGCTAGATGGACCCCCTGTTCGTGGAGTGTCAAAACAAGTCGTTGAAAATCGCGTTCAAAATGCACGGGGAACACGTGCCGGTGGTCCTACCAGCTTAATAGAGAAACCACCCCTGTCGAAGGTGAAAGGTAGCCATCAGGGTTTCTTTCAGTTCCAGTATTCATGGCATGATGCCATCAAGGCGCAGAAAGACCCTGTCGGTATCGACAGAATAATTGGGTGGGGTCATCCCGCGCTGTTAAGTTTGCTGTGCTTCGAGAATTTGTCGTGGTACATCGACGGCACTTTCCGCTGTGCTCCTAACCACTACAAGCAATGCGTCACGATTATGGTCTATGACCAATCGAGTAAGCTCTACGTTCCTGTCGTGCATGTGCTCACTACGTCCATGACAAAAAAATCGTACCTGAAACTGCTACAGTGCGTTCAAGATTCTGTTGGTAGTAAACTCGTTCCGAAGGACGTTGTATGCGACTTTGAGGGCGCTCTCATCGGAGCGATGTGTGCGTTCTTCCCTGATATCCGCATCATTGGATGTTTATTTCACTTTAAACAGGCCTGCAGCCGCAAGCTAAAGCGATATGGGATACCAAAGCTCGAGGCGAAGGTGGCTATGTCTCCAAGCGTGTTCGACGTACTGACCGTCATTGACCCCAGCAAAATTGCAGTGCAAGGAATCGCGTGGGTAAAGGCTAAAATACGAAACACTTGTGAGACCAAGCAGTTAGTCTACTCTCGACAAAAATGGAGAATTTTTTGGGCATATTTCCAGCGTACCTGGATGGATACATTTCCCCCAACGTTCTGGAACGTATACGGAATCAACCGGGATATTGTAAGTCGAACCAACAATCCATTAGAGCGGTTCCATCGTGAGCTTAACAAGAGATTCAGGCCTCATCCGTCAATGAAGCAATTTGCCACTACTCTGGAGATTCTAGCTCGTGAGTACGTTCTGCAACGTAATGCAATCATATCAGGAATTGCTGTTCCACCAGTACGAGTTCGATTTGAGTTGCCAAGAGCCCCCAGATTACCCAGTGTGGCTGCCATTGAAGACTCCGTTTCGAGCAGCGATAGTGAAGGTCAAGTAGACGACGTCGATGTGAATTCGGATCCTTACAGCACTGACGTGTCTTCTACAAGCGAAGAAAATGCTGTCTTGGAAGAGGCGGATGCGGACTATGAGCAAGATAACTCGTTCGAGTACGAGGGTGTAGTCTAATGGGTACGCAGTATGGTAAATAGAACACAAGAAAAATACTTACATGAACAGGCACTGACTTGAATATCACTGATAACACTACATACATGTACCGGAGCTTAAGAATCCTCATGCGCATTTCGTCATTTACGGCCCCCAGCAACAGTTATTTGAAGTTGTTGAGCTCAGCTGGGAGATACATGAACGCATATATATCTATATACAAAAAGAATCGCTGTAAAAGCCGTCTGTCACCGTCATTTGAACACCAGGCCGACAGCACGCTGTTGGAGCTTTTCCTCAGTATATTCCTGGTTGCCTCAAAGATGACTACAATGATCAGCACCAGTAGTTTAGGTCCACAAGTAGTGCCACGGTTAACCTGAGCGATTTTATATATAAATGGTGCAGTTAGGACAAAGTTTCAAGAGAGAGAAAGGAGAAACACAGACCTGTAGAACGTAATGTGTGGCGGATGCTGACTCGCTCCATCGTCGCCACTACTGACAGCTAGTTCACGCTTCTCTCCAACGTCAGCGTGTCCCTCCTGCGTTGCTGTTTGCGAGGACGGCGAGTCTTTTGAACGTGACCAACTAACTTTTGGTCACGTGACCAATCGTTTTTTTTACGTGTGACCAAGTGTCAAATTTGACCAGTAAAATTGGTTACCGTCCACGGTCACTTGGTCGTCGCTGTTCGCCCAGGAGCTGTGCGCATCCAGGTCCAGTGAGCTGGTCGAGCTGTTGCGTTGCAGCAGGTTGGCCAATCCATCGTAACCCTCGGCGGGGGCGACACCAAACCGCCAGCGCGTCAACAACAGGCGTCTTGAACTGAAAGTCTTGGCGAAGATCGTCTCCATCGACTCGGTGAGGCGAGCGGTACATGTGCTGTGCGTACAGCTTCAGAGCCACCTCCCGGGTCTGCTGATCTTCGCGGTCGAGAAGCGAGGTCGAACAGCAGCTGTTACTGGCCCAAGAAGATCGCGGTGGTCTCAGCAATGTTTGTCGATACATGGTTAGCAAGGTAGTCCTTGAGGACTTTCTCGAACTGGTTAATGGCGGTCATTGTACGACGACACCTTGTTGTCTAAGAGAAACTGACGTAGCTCCAGACCCACCAACAAGTACTGTTTCTCCTTGAAGGAAGCCAGCTTCTCGAAAAGCGGCACAAAAGCAGCGACCTTAACCGACGTGCGAGTAGTACTCCGCGCCATCTGAGCTAGAAGTTGCTGCAGCAGCTTGTTCTGAGCAATGGAGAAGACCATGTCCAGGTCAGCCGAGTTCTGCGGTTTCCACCGCGAAGTATTCGTTGATCAGGTCTGTCAGAACCGCCTCCTTGCCAGTGATCAGGCCGTCCTTGTTCATGCCGCGCAGCGTCAGCACAGACGCCTCGAAGTCCGTCGGTCCGTGTTAAGGTCCTTGTTGTGCTCGTCCAGGATCTCCGCGACATTGAACACGTGGGTCCTCAGCCACAGCAATCTTACACATCTGGATTTTGTCCGTGATCTTCACGAATACATCAAGCGAGTTCGACACCTGGTGCTGTACGCACAGCGTATAGAACAACGCATAACACCCTTCGAATTATCCCATTAGTCTATTGCAGCGCATTGATTCTTCCAGGCGATCATCTTTAGGAATGTCGCTTTAAGAAGACGCAGATCCTGTACAGCGACTATTGATACGAGCACAACGACTAAAAAATGTTGAAAACAGATATTTCGTACATTAAATATCTGAGAGCACAGCCCCGTTTCGTGTCTACAGTCAATTCTTGGATAAGTGTTTGTAGTGCAAGGTGGGGTGCACGTAGCTCCCCCTAGACGTCAATTTGTGGATGCGTACCTGATTTCGTTCTCAAACGCTGGTGAGCAGGTAACTCTTTCTTCTTGAATATGCAGTCGTTCCACCCCTGCTCACAGCGTTTTATTTATTCGGAAAATACCGCCGTACCGCCAACTCCGCTCTCGCAGAAACGTCTTCATGAAGGCTATTCACAAGCCGCTGCATTTGATTTGTGTGTGTTTGCTTGCGGTGGCGCTGACTTCGTGCCGATGTCCTCCAGATTAAAGTCGTGACGGAACAGGAGGATGGGTCTCGCGATGGCGATACCGGGGCTGAATTTGGCGTGGCGCCGGCTGCTGGGGTTGCCCAACTTCCTGGCATTGACGGCGCAGTACCGCAGATGGCTGTAGGTGGCATCCATCGTGTTTTCTTCTGGACGAAGATCTGTCTTTGAGTAGGTGGTACCACCACCAGTACAATGGAATTAAACGCGGCTCCACCGGTAAAGGGCAACTGAGTTTGTGGATATGAAACGAGTCCTTCACTGGGCTTGCCATTTCGAGCCAGAACTTCTGGTTTATTGTAAACTCGATTGCCCCGAGCGTTCTTGCCTTCACGGTCCGAATTTGCTTCAGAAGAGACGTGATCAGGTTTGCTACAATGGTAAACTTTTCGCCACGCTTCCTTCATCCGATTCTCCAATTGAAGGTCTTTTGGGTTCACC